CTCTAATTAGCATCACAGGTGTCTACAAACTTTTAGTCAGTCAGTCGGCCTATTTATAGGCTTACAGGTAGTCACTGTGCTGTTTGGTAACATGGTGTGTACCACACTAAACATGGACCAGAGGAAGCGAAGGAGAGAGTTGTCTCAGGAGATTAGAAAGAAAATTATAGACAAGCATGTTACAAGTAAAGGCTATAAGACCATCTCCAAGCAGTTTGATGTTCCTGTGACTACAGTTGCACATAGTATTCATAAATTTAACATCCATGGGACTGTAGTCAACCTCCCTAGACGTGGCCATAGGAGGAAAATTAATGACAAATCGAAGAGACGGATAATATGAATGGTGACAAAAGAGCCCAGAACAACCTCTAAAGACATTAAAGGTGAACTCCAAGGTCAAGGTACATCAGTGTCAGATCGCACCATCTGTCGTTGTTTGAGCCAAAGTGGACTTCATGGGAGACGACCAAGGAGGACACCATTGTTGAAAACAAATCATAAAAAAACCAGACTGGAATTTGCCGAACTGCATGTTGACAAGCCACAAAGCTTCTGGGAGAATGTCCTATGGACAAACGAGACAAAACTGGAACTTTTTGGCAAGGCACATCAGCTCTATGTTCACAGACGCAAAAATTAAGCATATCAAGAAAATGGTAAATGGTCTGCACTTACATAGCACTTTTATCCAAAGCGCTTTACAATGTGTTTCTCATTCACCCATTCATACACACATTCATACACCAATGGTGACAGAGCTGCCATAGAAGGTGCTGCCTGCCATTGGGAGGAACTTCAGGTTCAGTGTCTTGCCCAAGGACACTTCGACTGTGTAGGGGATCCAACCACCGACCTTGCAATTGGAGGACAACCGGCTCTACCACCTGAGCCAAAGCCATCAAAAGAACACTGTCTCTGCTGTGAAACATGGAGGAGGCTCTGTTATGTTCTGGGGCTGCTTTGCTGCATCTGACACAGGGTGTCTTCAATCTGTGCAGGGTACAATGAAATCTCAAGACTATCAAGGTATTCTAGAGAGAAATGTGCTGCCCAGTGTCAGAAAGCTTGGTCTCAGTGGCAGGTCATGGGTCTTGAAACAGGATAATGACCCAAAACACACAGATAAAACACCCAAGAATGGCTCAGAGGAAAACATTGGACTATTCTGAAGTGGCCTTCTATGAGCCCTGATCTAAATCCTATTGAACATCTGTGGAAGGAGCTGAAACATGCCGTCTGGAGAAGGCACCCTTCAAACCTGAGACAACTGGAGCAGTCGGCTCATGAGGAGTGGACCAAAATACCTGCTGAGAGGTGCAGAAGTCTCACTGAAAGTTACAGAAATCATTTGATTGCATTGATTGCCTCAAAAGGTTGTGCAACAAAATATTAAGTTAAGGTTACCATCATTTTTGTCTAGGCCTGTTTCATGAGTTTATTTTTTTAAATAACTCTGTTAAACCATGGTTCAAAAGCAATGTCTGATTTTCACTGGTTAATTTTCATTGAATTTTTGTATATTATTACTTTTGTCAGATTCAAGTTATTTCTGTGACCATTGTGGCTTTTTCTTTTATTAACCGAGGGGTACCAACAATTTTGTCCACGTGTGTATGTATAAAAGGATATTCGCTGAATTCATTGCGGTGTAAATGTATAGCTGAGAAAAATTAAAAACCACAATACGCACCCAATGTGTGTGTGCAAAGTTAAGCTACATTTTAATGAAAGATTAATGGCCTGCCATTCCAACACTCCATACTGTGCTCTGCTAGCATGCTGCTCTCACACCACCTTCGACTACATGGTGGAACTTTACATTCATTCCAGCTCGCTACTTTGCATTGCAAGATAAAAGTATAAAAACAAAACCAAAAAATTTAAACATACAGATTTTGCACCTCTGCAATTGTAAAATTCTGGCAACAGCCCAGTTTATGTCTATCCTAAAATCATTGAGACAAAGGCGCAATCCTTGTAATATTATGGTGCACTTATGTTGATATTTTGCTTGTAAATGAACTCATCAGTATTGAGTTAGAATAAAAAGAAGCATCAGCATTCCCTTGATACTTACTTCAAAGCACCAAAAGCAGGACTGCAAGTAGCAGTTTCTTTTATTGTTGATTAAATTCTTGATCTTTTTCTCGATAAATCAGTTAGTTGTGTGTTGTATTAAATGTTAGAAAATTATGAAAAATTACCCATCAGTGTTTTCTAAAGCCCAAGGTGACGTCCTTAAATGTGTTATTTTGTGCACAACCAAAACATATTCAGTTTACTGTCATAGAAAAGGAGTAAATGAACAAGAAAATATTCTAAAATAAGAAGCTAGAATCAGACAATTGAAACTTTTTTGAAACTTATCCAAACTAACAATGTATTACCAATATAGTTAGCGATAATTTCTACAATTGACAACTGATTGATTAATCAGTTAATCATTGCATCTCGAACCAAAAGATGAACCTGATGCGGCAAATGGTTTGCTACACAAAACCACCTAAAAGGTCGTCCTTGGAAACTGTTTGGAAAAGGGCTGGCGCTTTCAAAAAGTTCCTAAAGCAGTTCCTCAGAGCACACTGGTTGGTTATCGCATCACTGCCACTACGGAAACCAAACTGAGCTCAAGTAGGAACCCCCTACATTATTATTTTTTCATTACACAGAATCTTATATATATATCATAGATTTTTCTACATGGTTTTTACAATAAGATTTATACTGGGGGTATAAAAAAGTGCTTTTTCTGCTTGAATTTAAACAATTAGGTGAGTTTAATTCTGATGAAATACAACAGACTCCAAGACTGAATGTTCAAGACAATGCTTGACCCATACTAGGGAGTAAAAGTCAGAACATCGCTGCTTTTACGTTAATGCTAACCATTAGCAAAGTCCGCCAACTTTCTGAGATTGCAATGCTGCATCACTGAGTGAAAAATAATTACACTTCTATCATTACTATCACACTTTGTCTACATACAGGCCATTTACTGTGAGTCAGCTTCAAACTAACCAATACCATGTCAAATAAGTTGTCAGTGTGGCTGCAATTTGTTAAAACAAATGGCCAAAAAGTCGAGCCTAAACAGCAAACGGTTGTTTGCATATCACAGTTGAAGAACCAGCATGGCATATCATCTAAAAATGGAAAGTTAACATGCGTCATATTCCCTGGTATTTCGTATGCTGGGATCCAACCCAGTCTCACAGCAATTCGTGAAATAGTCACGAAACTTAATCTACTGATTCGTGTTTTGCCCAACTTTTTCATGACCTGGAACAGACCCGTCCGACAGAGTCTGTAATGTTTTTGTGTGTACAGCAGGTGGCGGTAATGCACCTGAATGTTGGATGCCAACCACCAAATCAACAGAAGAAGAAGAAGCTGCAGCAGCTAGGCTTAGCTAGTAGCTAATGTAGCCAGCCTAGACAAACTTGCTAAAAGCTTCACAAAGCTACAGATACATTCCCCACCGCTGGCCTCTCAGTTACAATAGTCAGCTGCGATCACAGTACATCTTCAGGTCCCTGTTTTCCTGCACGTGTCCTTCTTTTCAGAGTTGTATTTGTTTACAGAGAAATGAAAGTAATGACGAGCATGTAGCCCCAAGATAGTAAAAGCACTTATATTTTATCACAAATAAACGATAATAGATATGAACGATATTGTTGTGATCACTTTCAGAGCGATCTCAGAACAGCTTCTCTCTGCCTGGATATTTTTTGCCTTTTCTATTTGAATGGATATGGAGTTTATACGCAGTGCTGGTGTTTACAGAATGTTAATGTTGGTCAATGTGGGCTCACACATCTTTATACTGATCTCTATAGTTATTAGTGTGGACGGGCCATAACAGTAAAGAAGAAGAAGAAAAGAACAACAAAATAAAAAACTGTCTAATAGGGGAAAAACGTGGCCCACACACAAAGGATATTCCAACTGAAATGTATTGGTTTGAAATTCATGCTGGGGAACATGAAAAAGTTGGGCAATTCGTGTCCCTGGACACGACTCAGTAGATTCAGTTTTGTGACTATTTCACAAATTGCCGTGAGACTGGATTGTGGGATCACCAGTTGACATGGTTCTATTTTCACAAATCAGATGAATATGAGCAGGTCCACAATGGTCTTCTCTGAGTCTGTTCTTATCATTTTTGTGTACAATAACTGTGTTGATTATGCTACAAATTTGAGCTTTTTATGGTAATTCATGATCCATTTAAGCTAACAAGGCTTACAAAGTAAAGTGTGTTCAGTACACTGTGGCCCATTTAGTTCGTTTAGAGATGACATAGATTTTTCCTGCAACCAATCGATTGGTTTAAGAGTAGATACTATTTCTGTCTGCCAAGATTTTCTTTGGTTGATTTTCTTTTATAGCCTTACTCTGAAGGTAACTTAGTGATGTGTGGGAAAGAATGTTTGGTCTGCTGCCACATTAGTAACAACAGGCCTAAATATGGCCAGTGAAATACTGGATATTTTTTAGGGCAGGCCCCATGAAGGAGCAATTTCTCACTAAAGTACTGCCGATTGTTCACTGTTAGTCTCTTCATTTTAACATAGCCACATCACACATGGAAGAGTCTGCTATTTCTTACAGCTGGCGAACCAGCAGGAGTGGGAGGTTACAAACACTCACTGACACACTCAGGGGACACAGGAAACAGAGTAAGAGAGAGGAAAGCCAACTGGGCTCAGTTGATACCAGAGACCTAATGGATAAGACCAGAGGCTGAGACCGAGAGTCTGAATTAAGAAAAAAAGGGAACAGGACCAAACTGGAGAGTGAGATCAATCTCCAAAACCCTACCCATACATTAATTCCTTAAACTCTACTTACCCGTAAGTTGATTTCATGGTTTTTCTTGGTTCATTTTTATTCAATTTGCTTTAGCTTGAAGCAAGCCAGAATGAATCTTTTCTTTGTTTTGTTTTTAAAAGTGGTGAAGAGGTGTAAAAGTGGCATCAGAGCGCTGTTGTACTTACAAGACTGGGCGGTCCTGGCTTCAATAGGCTGAGTAAAGACTCCTAAACCCATCTCAGATCGTGCCGCCAGAGAAAACATATACAGCGTATCTGGCTTTAGACCATCAACTGCATACGAGCCTGCTGCGTCGAAAGTGACACGATGCTGTGGAGAAATAAAAACCATGAGATCATGATGGCAACAGCTCAAACATATACACTGTACTGGGCAAAAGGTTAAGGTACATCAGGTGTTTTTATTCTCATGCTCATTATCAAAAAGGCAATAGTCAGTCTGGATTACATGAAAAGACAGAAGACATTGAGACAGATTGAATCCACAGAATAACTGTAGCAAAAATACTACTGTTCTTCAACATGCTGAACAACCAACCAGCCGAGTAGCTTGGAAAATCTGTGTGAAAGTGCATTTTTCTCTCTACTTCAAGAGATCAAGAGCCTTTTTTGCTCATACAGTACGGCCAGTGAAATGCTGCATCACTCTGTATGAAGCTTAAGTGCCCATATGATGCTTTTTGAGTTTCCGTTAGTGTGCTAGCGCTTTTTTGTACATGTAAAAGGTCTTTATACTTAAAAATTCCAATGTCCAAAGGGAGTAATTTTCTCCTACAGAAAACACATGTCCTCACCTGCCTGAAACAGCTCATTTAAAGTCCAGGCTTTCTTTTCTATTACCTATCTACGTCAGCATAATACATTTGCATAATGCCTGAACTAGTTTGGAATACCGTCAAGTGTAAAATGAGCTGCTGACATTATTTCTTTACAAGAGCCACTTCTGCTAGTGCTACATTCCCATGCTGACAGATCGGAGGTTAACTTACGTAACCAGCGTAACCTCAGTTTTGTCGATCCAGCTCACCAATTCGAGTAGATATTTTAATTAGCAATGTACAATGTGGGAAAGATAATATTTAAAAAATAAAAGCATAAAAGCATGTAAAGCTATTCTAGTAGACCTCAAAAATAAAACTATAAACCTCTAAATAAGCATAACAAGGGCTCTTTAATTCATACATTACAAAACTATATATTTATACACACACACACACACACACACACACACACACAACTAATCTGTTATAGAATGTATTCACTATTGCAAATGCTGTTATGACCTAAATTTTCTCATATGCTTTTCTGAGATAAATCCAATCAGAGGTGACCGGTACAGGTGGCCTTAAGGGCTCATAACATGAACCTGTTTGCATGAAGTCACTTTGTAAAGTCATTCTGAGATTAGACAATTAAAATGAAATGAAAATTAAAAGACAGGGGTTGCTGCAGGAGCAAACAACAACAGAGCATGAATAAAAACAGCTTTTAAACTGTTGTCTGTACCTGTCAGTTTCAAACAACAAATGTAAGCAGTATTAATTAATTTGCAAAAACATGAGAATCAGCTGCAGAACATATCATTTGGATAGATAACACAATGACAAAAAAACAGCAACTGTGAATACATCAAACATAGAAACGTGCAAACAAGAAAAAAAATATTCAGTGCACATTTCAGTGGAAGGATGATGTTTTAAAGGTGGTATTTACCTTGTCTGTTGGATTGTTGGCCTCCCAGTAGAGCAGTTCAAAGCTAATGATGGGGTCCTGGACAGGCCAAAGCCATGACAGCATGATGCGTGAGTCCAGCTCGGCCTCTGCCTCAAAACCAGATGGCTGAGCTGGAACTGGAGGCAGAAACAAAGACATGAAGAGATGAAAAGATGGGAATAGAGATGGCGAAGAGTGCATCAAGAGTGAAAATAAAAGCAGGGGAGTCAAGAGGTGCAGTGGGCACAGAGTAGCTATTGCGTATTTGGTGAAACGTGGCAGTCAGTACTCATCGGTAATCACAACAGCAACCACACTGAGGAGGTCTAAAAGATGTCATCACCTTAAATTCTCAAAGGTGAAGTCGGTAAACCATGAATCACATTTACTAATGGTGTCTCATGTTCAGGAATTTACCGAAGCGTGATATAGAGGCCACAGCAACAGCTGCTTCCTGGCTATTTGAAGCTTGGACCTGAGTTCACTACTAGTTTTTATAAGAAACACCTTGTAATGCTGGACTGGCAATAGAAAACAGAGAAACAGAGAAACATGGAGCATTTAGCAGCTAAAGAGGTGGAAAGGGTATTTGTTTCAGGAGCTGGTGGAGACCAAACCAGAGCTAGAAAGACAGTGAATACATCCATAAGGTAAATGTTCACGTTGCTCACTGACAGGATGCATAAATAGGCACCTGTTTGCTAACATGCAGCTAACAGCCTCTTGAAATTTCTCTGTGTTTTATTATTATTAATATTAAATATGAATAACATTTTTAGAGGTTAAATAAGCTTTAAAACTCATGAAACTTTGCACACAATTGTAAAATTTAGTTTATGCTAATTAATGGCTGTGTAATGTGGCTCCATAGTGCCCTCTACAAAGTTTTGACATTTGGTAGCCACACCGCGAGAGACTCACTTCCTGCAACAAACCCACTAGTTTACAAGGGAATATGCAGTTTAAAAACATGATAAATGTATTAGTTCATATAATTGTCACATGTTTGTGATAAACAGAGATGGGCAGCAGTGGAGGAAGTACTCAGATCCTTTACTTAAGTGAAAGTAGTAGTACCACACTGTCAAATTCTTGCATTGAAAATGTTATTTTCAGTAAAAGTATGTAAGTAAAATTAGGAAAAAAGCACTGTGTTATCAAAATTCTTGTAGACTAATTGTAGCAACTGGACATTGCTTGAGTTCCTTGATGAGGTTTCACCTCTCATCCAAGAGGCTTCATCAGTTCTGACTGATTAGTTGGAGTTCCAGATACTGATATCCTTAAGGAGCCTTTAACACTTGAGTTTCGGATTCAGTTGGGGGTTGTTGCTCCTCCCCCTTGTTCTGTGAGTTGTTAGTACTCCCCCTGCCACAATGGGGTTCGTTAGGGTCTTTTGTGGCGAGGTGTGAATGTGGTTTCATCTTCCTGGGGAGAGTTTTTGGGCTTGGTTTTTAACCGGTTGGGGGTTGTTGCTTCGGCCTTCCCGTGTTTTTGGGGGTTGGGTTTTCCGTTTTGCCTTGGTTGGTTTTTTTCCTCCTTTTTTCAACCCTTTTTTCTTCCTTGGCCAAATTTTTTTTTTTTTTTTTTTCATTTGGTTTTCTTTTTTCTTTAGGTTGCGGTTGGCTTGTTGGTTCTTTTCCGGGGAGGTTGGTTTTTTTTTGTTGGGCCTTGGGTTTTTGTTTTTTTTTTTTCCCGGTTTTCCGGTTTTGGGCATTCCTCGTTGCCCTGGACTGCGTACACCATGTTGCTTTGTTTATGTCTCTGTGTCTTGTCCTTAGGGTGAACCAGTTTCTGTCTCAGGGTGTTGGTGGGCTTGAAGTGAACTGGAATGTAGTTTTTGTTAAAAATCCTCCTGAGCTTTTCAGAAACTCCTGCAATATAAGGGATGACTATGTTGTTTTGTTTCTTGGTCTTTTCTTCTCTTTCTCCTCTGGGTTTTGTAGAGGATTTAATGAAAGACCAGCTTGGGTAGCCACAGGCTTTGAGTGCTGTTTCGATATGCCTTTGTTCCTCCTCCTCTTTTCTTGCTGTCCTGGTAAGCACGTTCTGGGCCCGGTGTTCTAGGGTTCTTATTAGTCCAAGCTTGTGTTCCAGTGGGTGGTGGGAGTCAAACAGCAAAAATTGGTCTGTGTGAGTGGGTTTCCTGTATATCTTTATGTCCAGGCTTCTGTCTTCTTCTATGTGCACAGCACAGTCCAAGAAGGCCAGACTCCCTCCTCTGATGTCTTCCTGGGTGAACTTGATGTTTTTGTCCACCACACTGATGTGCTCCATGAAGGCTTCTACTTTCAGTGTTCTGATTTTAACCCAGGTGTCGTCCACATATCTGTAGCGGTGGCTGGGAGCAGATCCTGCAAAAGAAGTCAGGGCTTTGCTTTCTACTTCTTCCATGTACTGGTTGGCCACTATGGCCGACACCGGTGAGCCCATGGCACAGCTATGTTTCTGTCTGTAGAAACCTCCCTGGAACTGGAAATAAGTGGTCATCAGGCAGAAGTCTAGCAGAGCACAGATGTAGTCTGGAGTGAGCTTGGTCCTGTCGGTCAGGGTGTTGTCCTGTAGGAGAAGTTTCCTCACTGTTGTAACAGCTTCTGTTACAACTTCTGTGGGATGCAAGTTCAAAGAGAGGTGACATCCTGTGATACCAAAGTTTCTTTTGAGTCCTGTGAGTTTCTTATGTGATGATTTATTCCAACCAGTGGAGCTAAAATGGAGGCAAGGTGTTTTGCAATCTTGTAGGTGACGTAGTTACTGCTGCTGCTGATGGGTCTAAGCGGAGTACTTCTTTGTGTATCTTTGGGAGACCATGCAGACAATGCAAGGAATGGCTTCCCCTGGGTACAAACGGTAATATAGTGTACAGTCAATTACTTGGTCCTTTTCTAAGTGTTGTAAACAGTTAATTGCCTTAGTCTTGTATTTGTTGGTGTAATCTTGTTTCAGTGTCTCATATGTGGTTGGTTAGTGCAGCGAGGAATGCCAAGACCTGTACATCGGGGAGACAAAACAAATGCTCCACAAGCGCATGGCTCAGCACAGAAGAGCCAGCTTCTCAGCAATCCACAGGCATCTTAAGGACAAAGGACACTCATTTGAAGACAACAAGGTACAGATTTTGGCCAGGGAGGACAGATGGTTTGAAAGAGGGGTGAAAGAAGCCATCAAACTGGAAAGCCCATCCCTCAACAGCGGTGGAGGTCTGAGGCATCACCTCTCACCTGTTTACAACTCAGGCCTAAGAACTCTCCCCAGGAAGATGAAACTGCATTCACACCTAGCCACAAAAGACCTTCACGAACCCCATTGTGGCAGGGGGAGTACTAACAACTCACAGAACAAGGGGGAGGAGCAACAACCCCCAGCTGAAACTGAAACTCAGGTGTTAATGACTCCTTAAGGATATAGGAGGGCATCTGGAACTCCCAACTAGCCAGTCAGAAGTGATGAAGCCGCTTGGGTAAGAGGTTGAAACATCTTCAAGGAACTCAAGCAAGTCCAGTTGCTACGATTAATCTACGAGAATAACCATGACCTGGATGACTGAGAATCTTCACACACATGTTGTCAAAGTAAATGTACTCAATGCAGAAAAATGTATTGTGTGACTGTTGTACTATAATACAGTGTATTATATCATTACATTGTTTATACTCATGCATGTTACAAAAGGCCATACCACCTGATCCTCAAAGTCACAACTGAGAACAGTTAACATTAGCTTAATTAAAATCAGATTTAGATGCATTAAAATACAAATGGTGCCCAACTCCATTCTACAGTAGTTCATTGTTTAGCTTCCATGACAATCTGCCTTTCTGCTTCCCCAAACTAGGAGCGAGCAAACAACCAGATCCCACGTTTACTATGTATAAGTACCTCATACTACTACCACTTTATGAAACAGAACCATCACTTTAACCATCTCTATTTGTGTATTATATTCATAGTTTCCCAATTCCAACTTGAACAGAAGTCTAATTAGCCAACTTGAACATTTACTAATATGAGGGAATCAATTCAGAAAGCTCAGCCAAATAAAGCAAGTCACAGGAGCCCTCTAGGACACCTTGACACTAAATAAAATAGGATTTGATGAGTATTGGATCTAATATTCAATATTTCTCAGATAACCAATATTATTCTATTTTTTATTATTTTTTAAAACTGATTCAAGAAAAAGTAATTTAAAAATGTGCTACTTTGGCTCTGTTGCAGTGGCCTCTCTATCTGCAGTCTGTCCTCTGTGGTCCCTAACAATGTCCTTGGTTACAAATCATGAGTAATAGCTGATCTACCCTTCGGATACATTTTGAAAAGTTCTCTCTTTAATTAAATGCGTAAAACATAAATAAACAAGTACATTTTAATCCTGTTTTGTGAAGGACTTTGCATTTTTCAAAATGTTGACCACAAGATTTTCATTTTTACAGCAAATGTATATCAGTTCCAAATATTGGTAATCGATCTTCTTGATTGCTAATAATTATATCAGCCCTAAAAAATACCCCTTATATAAATCAAAGGCACGTTTGAGTGTGAAATAAATAATGAGTGGCATCAAATTATCAGAATGATCTAAACCAATGGCTTTTCTGTGCTGTAAAGTCCTGAGAGGTAACAATTAAATTAAGTGAAAGTTTTGATAAGTAAGTTAAGTGCCTTTTTACACATCTGGGTAATAATATGTCAGACTTTTTCATCTTGTTTTTCAGACTCCAGGTAGTTTAAAAAAAAATCTGGATTTTGTAAGACTACCAACATATTTCAATTTGCCTAAAAACAAAGCAGACCCTGTGATGTTTTCATTTATTGTTAATATGAACACATGGACAGATTTTATTGTAGTGATTAATTCATTGTAGTGATGTACTGATAATAAACAGTAAAAAAAAAAAAAAAATACTTTCGTTACTTTCTTTTCCTTCATCAATTTGAATTAAAGTAAAATCCTTTCCTTCAGCTACCAAAGGTTCATATTTCACAAACAAATGAAGCTGGATGTGATTGGTTTTATTTTCCAATGCAGCCCTGGTGTGATTTGCTTCTTCCAGCTGAGCACAGTAAGGTAAGAGCATTGAAAAACAAGCTTTCTGTGAATGAAACGCTATTATTATTGCATGCAAGCAACTGCTTTGTCCTCAAAGATAAGGTATGCAAGGCCTTTATATTCCACACACACCCACACATACTGTATACAATGTGCTCCTGAGGATCCTTCTACAATAATCTCAGCTGGTGAATATTTAACACACTTACGTTTCACATTACAGCTGAGTGATTGGATTTATTTCTGCTGCTACCAAATACATTTTTTCATGGGTCAATTACGCACACATTTAACACAAGCTGACGTTTGGCTTCATGCAAGCGGACAGGCATCAATCTGAATTACACAACTCACTGTGTCTAAGTCAGAGGTGCTGCTTGCAGCAGTGACTTTTAGCTGTAGACTGCTGGTTATGTCACACAGTTAACTGTATTGCTGTTAATGATTCTAAGAACCCATCTCCGGAGGTGACACATAACCAACTGCATTAAGTCAAATCTATTTGTTACAGCACACACTTGCTATCCTTTTATTTTAAGAAATGCATGTGCTGACATGCGAGGAAGCAGAACACAATAATGTAACATTTATTTTTGTCTTGTTCTATCGTGCTATAGCTGTCAAATTTATGGTTAATTTGACTTTATGAAAGCAGCCTATAGAACCTGAGAACTGCATTGAGAGAAACACATGTACATCAACACCACAGTCAAAAAGAAAGTGTTCATAGCATGCACACCAGTTGTTTTGAGATTTCAACAACACTAAACACAAGGGCTGTGGTGTCCACACAGAAAAGTCTTTCTCAAACAGTCTTTTGGGATGTATCCATCATCCTTGGAAGTGGGAGGAACAGACCTGTTAAGATCCTTACATTTTTCCAGCTTTGATCTGGCTCAACTTAATGGAGACTGCAATGTGTAGCATATTTAACCATAACGTTGGGTCCAAACTAATTGACACCATGTCAAAGAAGTCACCTTAGTGGCTGCATTTTGCTCTAAAGGATGGCCACAAAGTCAAGTGTAAACTTTGCAAACATTAGTTTGCATATCACAGCTCAACAACCAACATATAGATATAATCTAACAATGGTAGTCTAACTGCTCTATCCTCAGTAGTATTTGTGCTGGGATTACCAATTGATATAGTTCTATTTTCAGAAATTGTATGAATATGGGCAGGTAAGTTTGTTGTTATGATTTCAGTATGAAATAAGGTTAACATGATTTAATGCTACAGATTATTCTTTCAGGCTTATTCATTAAGTACAGCAAGCAGGGTGCACTCAGTGCACTTGAGCTGCTTTTGTTCATTTTGAGATCATGTGTAATTTTTTTCCCCAATGACCAATCAATCAGGTGAAGAGAAGGCATAATTTCAGTTGACTAAAGATGTGCTACATACTCAAAACATGCTCAATTTTAGAAAAGTTTTTGGAACTGGTACACAGCTGAACTTTGTGACTAGGTGGTGATGAAAGAACAATGAGCTAAAAGAATACAACTTTTTCCTCAGAAGTTGTTGAAAACCAGATGTAAATTGTAAAAAGTTTGCATGCGACACTTACATTCATCAGGCGTTCAAAGAACATCGCTGCATAATGAAAGCTAATGTGTCTGCTGGATAGGGCTGCCTATAATGGTTATTTTCATAGCTGGTTAATCTTTTGTTTTCTCAGTTAATCAATTACTTGTTTGGTCTTTAGGATTTCGGAAAATTTTGAGCAATGTCAATCATGTCTTCAGATTTCTGTCTACAACCCAAAGATGTTCAGTCTACTGTAATAAAGAAAGAAAAAAAATATTCAAAATAAAGAAGCTGGGACTAAAAAATGATAATTTGTTTGACAACTAATAAATTTATCTTTGCAGATATACTACTGGATCTAACAATAGGTGTCCATTTTCAACCATTTGCACATACAACTGTATAAGGAGACAAAATGTCAAACTAACAGCTCCTCCCATTGCACCCCAGTGGCCAAAAAATATCTATCAATGCAGCTTCAGGTAACACTGTGAAAACTAGTGTTTTTAAATACTAAAGAATTTTTGCATGATAATTCGATGCTTTATTTCAGCAAATAATCTAAATAATTCTTCCACTGCTGCTAAGCACAAAATGATGCAGAAAAAGTGTGACAGTCTGCTAATAAAGTAGTGTGACTGTAGCACCTTCACAGATCAGTACATTTAGCTCTCACCTCCCTGCTGGGTTTTGATCTGTAGAATGTCAGAAGGAGGCCCGTCTCCCACAGAGGTGAAGCCCAGCACTCGTAGGCTGTAGGTGATATCTGTCGTCAGGCCTGAGATGGTGGTGAACTGGCTGTCATCTGTGTTGTGTTTCTGCCAGGCGCTGAGTGGGGCATCGGGGTCGGTGCTGTAGTAGACCCGATATCCCCGGATTTGGCCATTGGGCTCCTCTGGAGTTTCCCACTGGACCAGCATCGTGCTGGAGCTGAGCATGCGTGCCTGGACATGAAGAGGCGGTGATGAGGGTGCCTGCTCGCTTGTCCGTGTGTCCACTATACCGCTGGGAGGCCCCCGGCCTACATTGTTGACGGCCATGACGCGAAACTCGTATTCAGAGAAGGGGCTGAGGCCACCGATGCTGTATCGGGTTGTGGCAACGCCGTCTACTTCTTGGAAACCATTGTCAGAAAGTTTGGCACGGTACTGAATCACATAGTAGGACACAGGTTCTGGGTTGCCAGAGTCCCAGGTGAGGGTGACACTGGTGGCTGTGGTTTCTGTCACAATGAGGGACGTGGGCGGCTTTGGTAGAGCTGTTAGGGAGTGGAGACAGACACAAAAGTCAGAACAACATGTCTGTACAGTCTTATTCCACCTCTCTGGCATGAAAGTCCAGGAAGAACGCCCACTGAAGCTCTGAGTACATGGAGTCGCGCAGCACTGCCAATCTATTGGACAATTATCTTCCCTGATCTGTACTGTGCCAGCAGGCTCAGCACATGTACTATGTTACCAAGCAGATGGTTGCATGTTCTCCTGTATAATCCATTTATAATGCACCCAGAGTTGGAGATCATCAGAATTGCATGTATTTATGGCAGCTACACATGGGGCTTGCAATGTTGAATTTTTAACAGATGTAAGAAATCCCCTCATTTCATATGGAGCTCAACAGGTGTCATGGAGCAGAAAAAAAATACATCTAATTTATGCACACAAATTACTAAATTGTGGACACAGCTCACTTAATTTCTTTTTGTGTGCAGTAACTATATTGTTAAATAAATCTTGACACACATGTACAGACAAACAAGTAAAATCTGGATATGCACATTTCCATCTGGGTGCAATTTAGATTTAACTGTCCGTGATCTGACAACTGCTTATTTTCAGTACAGGCAGCTGCACATTTTAGCAAACTGAAACACTGTCAACTGCAATAAAATAGCTATATTAAGAAGAGTGACAAGTGGAAAGCATATGATAACTTGGTCATTTGGCTTGTGCTATTTATCTTTTTCCCCATGATGACTCTGTAGGAGGATGCCTTACTTGCATTAAACATGGACAATCTGACCAAAAGAACGTGACTTTTGTGTGGCAGAATCGTGCTCTGAGTCACAATTCTCCCCACAATTTAGTGGAACTCATATGATGACATGATTGTTTGCGCACATGGATTACTGGATAAAAAACCTGTCACTTCAAATCAAGAAAATTGCACAAACAGCTGGAGACACCCACAGACATGTCATTGTTGTTTTTTCACAACTTCTCTAGTCTCCATTGCATACATGTGCAGTAGGTCATATCTACTTTTTCAGTGCATACATGCCACTTTCATGCATGTGCACTATTACCATTGTAGCGTAGTCGCTGCACATCCATAAGTTTTGGCCTACATGGGAACATGCCTGGAGGAGTCTGCATGGACTCTGGAAGACTTGGGAATGTGATGAAATTGACACTGTCACACGACCCTTATGTACTCACAGACGCAGAAAGTGTAATACAGCCTTAAACCTCGCTTTCACATCACTCTGTGTATATATGCAAACCAACCAGAAGTCCATTTATTCCTACGATAGTCGCTGCAATGTCCAGTTTGCTTGCAAAACTCCTCCTTCCACTATTTTTTTAAACTTTTGTGGCAGATTTTGGAAAGGCCGTACTGTGTGCCAGACAACACATTAGCTCACAGACTGTTCAGTTGTTTCACTACGTTGACAGTCAAATTGTGAATACATATGTATACATAAAAAGAAAATAACTTAACAGTTAGCTGTGTAATGTGTACCAAGTGCACACATGCTATAGCCGTTCAAACATCTTCAAACAAAACACAAAACTGGCTCCAAACTTGGCAGATTAACCTTCTAACTTGTTTCCCATCATGCATTATTGTTACATCGATCACCTTTACTTCTGCCTATAATACCTTTTGTTGCTTAGCCTTTTTTTTTTTTTACAAAATTAAAGCCATTTCAAAAAAACAAACTCTGATGATGCTAAGCTGACCAAACAGTGCTAAAATGTGCTGTCTTGACTTCTCACTTATCAAGAGTTGACAACAACCCTGTTCTATTATTTTTGCACATTCATGCTTATTTCTAGATCAAATACTAAACAATGTAAATGCACATTTATTGGTTGGTGTACATAAATGTGTTTTTTAAATCTTTCATGACACCTGCCAGGTCCTGCGATTTTACCATAATCCTGTCATAATATAAAGGTGTACATTTGAGAGCACTTTTGAAAAAGGACTGATTTTCTTCATTCTGTCCGTTTGCACAGTGTCCATAACACCATTCATTCTGTGATGTCTCAGTGTGAAAAGAGCCTTTCAGTTGTTCCAATTAAATTACTGTATTATAGTAGACCAGCAGGTCATAGAAAAACAATGGTAAAAGAGAGACGAGGGAGGAAAAACTGTCTGCCACGGTTGAAACCAATTTCTGAAAGACATTCGTCATCATAATTACGCTGTGGCCTTGATATGTAGTAAAACAGTCAGCTCAAGATCTGTGAGTAATACAGCGGAGACAGCCTGAATAAAATGAAATGCTATCTTGCATGTAATGTGTAATATGTTAGTGTGTGTGTGAGAGAGGGAATTAAAAACAGCTCAGACTATAAAAACATCGCGGTGGTCAGGACTTTGTGCTGCCGCAGTGAAAATGGATGTGCTGAAGTCTGAAGCGGAGCAGCGGGCTGTGCAGAAACGCTCACAGGCTGCCATTTGGGATGAACCACTGCAACCAGAGGCTTTTAGCTCTGCTGCTCCAGTCTTGACATCTGCTTCATTATCATGCAGTGCATTCAGCTATTCTTCTTCCTCTGTACAAACATGTGAACTCCAGCAGGCTGTGACTGAATGAGACTGCTGCTTTTCACAATTCTCCCTTCAATCTGTTACTGTAAAGCTAAAAATTACATGATACTATACAACTAAACCGCATCTCAGTTTTGAAGAAAATTTATTCTCTCCTTTACTACATTTGTTTGTTTGTGAAATATCCAAAGTATGTTTCTAATCAGGGCTGCAAGATGGAGCGGGATCTTTTTGTGTGGAGTTTGCATGTTCTCTCCGTGCAGTGTGGGTTCTCTCCGGGTTCTCTGGCTTCCTCCCGCAAGGTCCAAAAATGTGTTGAGGTTAATTGGTGACTCTAAATTGTCCATAGGTGTGACTGTGAGTGTGCTAGATAGACTGGCGACCTGTCCAGGGTGTCTCCTGCCTTCGCCCTAAGTCGGCTGGGACAGGCTCCACTCCACAATCGCTCTCTGTATAAGCTACCTAGGGTTAAAAATATGAGCCATTTATCATTGAGCTAACATTGTGGGGGCATCAATTTTAACCCATAATATGATATTTTCCAAAACAACAGTGAGTGGAAGCAAAATTTAAGTCTAATAATTATGGTCCCACATGCGAGATGAACTGCTGTCTCCTGGGTAAAAGTCCTGTGTCGGACTTAAGCCACCACCACCCATTCAAACTAATACAATTTGTGTTGCCCCCTGAAAGTGGAAACATTTCCTACTGCATCATACAAGGCTGTTTTCCACTGCAGGAATTTGAGAGCTTTTTTTTTTTTTTAGGGTAGTCCAAACCTTCCTACATGTTCTGACTAGAGAATCCGCCCCTATACCCCATGCAGGGTTGTTTTCAGGGTAGGTTTTCCTGAACGGCCCTGAAAAACACAGCTGGATAAGTCTCCACACTGTTTAAACCCAGAGAAGATGATGCTTCTCCTCTCTAACAATGCCACCAACAACATAAAATTCACAGTATAGACTAAGATAAACTTAATTTGTTCTATTTCCTACATGCTCATAGAACTGGAGTTACGCCAGGTAAATACTATTTGTTACTTTGATGCACTCGGTTGAAGCTGTCTGATTCACCACCGCAATGAAAACAGAAAGGCTGAAAGGGCCAATTAGGAGGTCATTCCTGTAAACACCACCTCACACCTGCTCTGAGTTCCTGCAGCGGAAAGCCACCTACTGTTACCTTACTGAGAGAAAATCTTTCTTTCAATGGTAATTGAGATGCAATTTCGTTGTATAGGAATGTAATTTTCGGAGACAGCACTGATTGATGATGTGCATCACCCTGAATGCTGACTATGAAATATTCAAGTAAAAAAAAGCAAAAAAACAAAATATTTGCGCACTGGGCTCCTGCGAGCATATCTGTCTACAACATTACGATTTCACAGCCTCCATCAGGTAATACAGCAGAGGCCTAACCAAGAGAGACAGGTATCAGGCCCCTTTAGCCACAGTTTATTGGGGGATATCTGTGGGGGATGTGGTGAATTTCACTCCCACTGGTTCATTGCAAGTAAAAAAAAACAAACAAAAAACAGTAAAATAAAGCTAACTAAAATAAACAAAAAACAAAAACAGGTGTACACAGTGAGAGCAGCAGAGTGGTGACGGAATTAGTGAAATATAGATTATAGTGCTAACTAGTAAACATGGAGTTTACATTAAAAACAAACATCAAATAGAAATTATAAGAGCAGAGCAGAAAACAGGATGGCTACTCATCTACTACTACTATCTATCTATCTATCTATCTATCTATCTATCTATCTATCTATTTATCTATCTATCTATCTATACGTTAAGAGATGACTTTGTTACTTTGCTCCCTTAAGTTTATGTAACTGAAAGCAGTGCTTGACTTTATTTGATGTAAATATATTCTGCTTTTTGCTGAGGCCATCACACATGGGATTACGCCTTGTTAATGAACAGTAAATGACATGCAGGTTCATTCTGCAGCGTCTTATCAAGCTGTCACAACATGTTCTAATACTGATATTAATGGCCGCTCTGTCAGAGACTGCAAATGGGAAGTCTTTATGCATGCTTTACCTGACCTCACTGTCACAGTCTCACCCCGGCACTGAGGAAACCAATCCCCAGCAAAGGGTCACTTCAAGTAAATTAAAAATACAAAGAAAACACATTAATCTACTAATCACTAGATACATTTTCTCGTGCTGAGCTGTTTCGTGCAGAGATTTGAGACATTAATCTTTGTGAACTCGTCGACTCGTTTAAAAAAACTTTGAAAACGACTTCCTGGTTTCCTTCGATCAACACCAGACATCACTGTCAATGGTTCAACTGTTTCTTACACAGTAATCCATACAAAAAAACTGTTTAGCAAAGCGATTCCAAAGCAGTGGAATGCTGTTTCCAGTAGGGCTGTAGCGTCCACATGAGCTGATCGACTGGCTGGTCGATATGCTTCTGACCAAATTCTTGTTGGTTGTACAATCACAGGCGTTCCTTTCATAATGAGTAAAACATTACGTCAATAGTCTTCCTGGAATAATCCATCATTTTGGGCGACTGAAAGAACAGACTACCTATGGACACCCCTGTATTTTCACAATTTTGAACTCACCCAAACTGACGGAGACGGCTCGTTTTAACTAATTTAACATTAACTGAACATTTATTTTTAGTCGACTCTAAACTAACTGACACTAAGCCAAAGAAGTGTGACTGCACTTTCTACAATCAGATGGCCAAAAAGTGGAAACTTTGCAAACAGCAGGAATCATATGAATAAGATCTGGTCTGTTGTTATTTCAGTGTAAAATAACCAGGTTCAAATGATTTAATATGCTGCAAATACTAGATTTCTATGTTTATTTACAATTCATGTATGCTAATAAGGCAAACAGGTAGAGTGAACTCAGTACACTGTGGCCTGTTTTGCTCATCTAGAAACAGACGGTATTCCCATGCAAGAGATCAGTTCAAAAGCAGGTACGATTTCAGTCCACCAAGGTTTTCTCTGGTGGAAAACAGCCCTTGTTTTCACACACCAGATGCTAAATCCTACCCCGGAAATTTGATGATTGACTTTGTCAGATTTAACTAAAGAATCCAGAGAAACTCAGCCAATATGCAGAATGAGAAAGACATCCATCCATCATCTATACACCGCTTAATCCTCACTGGGGTCGCGGGGGGGGGCTGGAGCCTATCCCAGCTGCCTCAGGGCGAAGGCAGGGGACACCCTGGACAGGTCACCAGTCTATCGCAGGGCTACACTTCGAGACAGACAACCAAGCACCTACAGACAATTTAGAATCACTAATTAACGTCAACATGTTTTTGGACTTGAGGGAGGAAGCCGGTGAACCCAGAGAGAACCCACACTGCACGGGGAGAACATGCAAACTCCACGCAGAAAGATTCCAGTGCCCCCACCGGGACGTGAACCGGCGACCTTCTTGCCACCAACTGCGCCATCTTGCAGCCAATGAGAAAGGCAATACCTTTTAACTCTGACAAGAAATACTTTTACTCTGATGACAAATTAGCTCAAGTTGGTAAGCTTACAGATTTCTGTTTTTTGTTCTTTGTCAGCAGCAACTGAAAACACACCGATATTGCATTTTCAGTGCTGACAGTGCCCAGGTGAAGTTTGCTTACTTCCAGTTAATTAGTCTCAAAAATCTGTGCACATAAAAACCAGGTGTGTGGATGTGATTCAAGCACAGAGAACAGTGTCCATGAACAGAAAAACACACTTGTGAGGGAGCATTGCTGTTCCACATGTAGAACTGTGGTCTTGGCTGTGATAAGTGCTCACCCAACTCTCCCCACACATTCGCAGCTGTTCAAGCTCACTCACTGGTCAAGTTGACTTTTAAGACTATAAAGGCGAGAGTAGCTTCAAGTCTTCTTTGATTGGTTATCTGACGTGTGTTTACTGGTTATTGCAGCTCTGAACAACGTCAACTTCTTCACAGTTATTGTCTGTCCTTTATGGTGGAGCGCTGTAGGCCCTCACAGAAAAAAAAAAAAGTTGTAAAAAATTATAACTTAACCTGTCAAAATGTAGTTTTCCACTGCTTATTAAACACAGCTAGATAACAGTGCCTAAACAGACATGTAATAAATTTCAGACGTAACTTCATGAATCGTTCGTCATCAATGTCATTCAGGAGCTTAAACATGCTAATTTATATACACACATGGACAAAATTGTTGGTACCCCTCGGTTAATGAAAGAAAAACCCACAATGGTCACAGAAATAACTGGAATCTGACAAAAGTAATAATAAATAAAAATTCTATGAAAATTAACCATTTGAAAATCAGATATTGCTTTTGATCCGTGGTTTAGCAGAATTATTTTTTAAAAAGAAACTCATGAAATAGGCCTGGACAAAAATGATGGTACCCCTCGTAAGACTGAAAATAATGTGACCATAGAGACATGTTCAATCAAGGTGTGTCCTCTAAAAAGGCCAAAAAAAAAAATTTGTGACTATTTTACGGCCATTTTCATTGAATTTTTAAAAATTATTATTATTGCTTTTGTCAGATTCAAGTTATTTCTGTGACTGTTGTGGGTTTTTCTTTTGTTAACTGAGGGTTACCAACAATTTTGTCCACATGTCTAAATAAGTCACAGGGTAAGAGACAGAGCAGTCACTGTGGGTGTTAAAAGTAAAGGAGCACAGTTATCATCTACTGTCCCACCTTCAACGTCTTAAAAGTCACCTTTAACAGTGAGCAGGTGTTGTGCGTTTACCAGAGCTTCATGTTCACATTTGTGCACACAGACCAGAAGTGTTCTCTGTGAGGATGTTTTTTCTCTTATGGATACAGTTCTGTGAGCCTGTATCACGTATTTGTGTCTGGCTTTTATGTAAATGGGGTTTTAGACTAACTAGGCTCCGTATCATTTCTCTGTGATGTTAGCATGCTAAATGTATGTGTTGTTTTGTGAGAACATAAAGGAAAGCCTGTGACAAGGGTGACATATGCCTCCGCTTGCTGTTGTCGCTCATGTGGCTAATTAACAGTTTGTGATACAGTTTATAGCTCCAGTGAAACACCATAAACCCAAAAGCAACAGTACGGCTGACAGTATCTGACAGTGACATGCAGTTGAAGGCTTGTTGAGATTACTTTTAAACTGCTTTGAAGGAGAAGAATTTTCATTTGAACTTCCAATTTGATTAAATGATTTCACTTTAAGGACTCCAGGACACTCTCTGAAATCTTTGCATCCCCAAGCAAAAAGTACAAATGTAATCATTCGTTCCATTTTTCCCCACATGTCAGATCCCATCCAGACACACCACCACCACACAGACTGTTTTGACCTTTGACAGTGATCTGGGCTGTTGTCTCGATCATGCCCAGGGAGGATATGGCCACACAGGTGTAGTTGGCAGATTGGCGGATGTTGGTGAGCTCCAGGACATTGCGGCCAATAGGCATCTCATCCTCACGGGTCAGCTCCACTTCACCGCTCATCCACTTGACGTAAGGCATGGGGGCGCCGACCGCCACGCAGGTCAGGTTGACGCTGCCACCGGGCATCACCTCGTGATTGGTGGGGGGGATGGAGAAACGGGGAGGCACACGGCGAACTGCAGGGGCGAAGAGAGAGAGTGTGAGAGGGCACAGAGGAGGGAGGTGGGAGGGGAAACCACTGGGCTGACTCAGTGTTTGACTGGCCTGACTCGTACTGTGCACCACTGTGTATGAACTGGTCAGGGTGAATGGTCCGATTAGCTTCTGCCTGGGGGGGGTTTACTACTCCATCATGCTCTTTGATCTGTTTTAGGCTGATTCATGGAGTGTGAAAGTGTTGCTCTGCTCTCAAGTCAGTTCAAAGCCAATTTATAGGCAGGATTTTTCTCCTGCTACTTAAATACTCCTCATCAGAACTGCTTTCAGATGAGATTTTAAGTCATGCTGCCTAAATGTTGTATTGATTGCTATCATCATTTTTGATGAGATGTTGACTGTTAAGCGCTGTTTTTCTTAGAAATTAATCAGTTTTAAAGTATAAAGAAGAGGTTTAATTTCACCATGTATGAGTGTGGTTTATGATGACATTATTAGCTCTGATTAAACTCAAGCGTTTTGGTCTAAATGCACTTTCAAAGAGTTCTTGTATTTATAAGAACAATATTATGACAACACCACTGCTGTGTTCCACATGATTTGGCATGGGATCCTACCATTCTATTAAATTTATAAAGACTTGTGTAATACATCTTTGTCTACTGTCAGTAAAGTAGGAAACAATCCAACAATGGAAAACACTTAACCCTTGAATGGAGAGCCAGATTTACATACGTGAAAAAAGAAGGCAAATTTACACAAGGCTGTTTAATTAATCATTAGCACTCAGTTTAGAGAAGCTGTGTTTTTAATGATGCGGAGGGTTAACAACAGTTCTGTGTTAAGCATCTACAGCATTGTTTTTTACAACAATATACAATTATATAGCTTTAAGTTACACTGTATGTTAATTATATCGCCCCACGTGCGACATGTAGTTTCGTTCTTGAGGAGTTGGCCAACAGCTGTGGCAGCAACGTGTGGTAAGTTCTTGTTGTCTCTTTTTATTATTCATTATAATTTATTATACATCTACTGCTGTTCCTTTCTAAATGCGACACCATGACTCTTTTCAACCAGAGACTCTTCAAGTTGTACCATTATCCCCATTTGTAAAATTCACTGTTGTTGCTCCTCCTTCTCTACCGGTTTCCACTGCAGGAACTAGTAAGCTGTTTAAGGGCAGCCTGAACCTTTGTATGTGTTCAGATGGCAAGGACTGCCCCTGTAGAACCTCTTTCAGGCGCGTTTTCAGAGGAGAAATAAAGGAATAAACCTACTGGCACCTGAAAAAACTGCTGCGTGGGTCTTATTACTGATTGGTTAAGCCTCTGATCACCAAAACTACTTGAAATGGCATATTATCTATCAGGAAACTGAAGCAAAATCAATCAAATCTAAGCCAAATATTTCATCAAAATCACTTTTTTCAATGTGTCTCATTTAAATATTTGCTGAAGATAAACTCTTGGCACCAGATTCCCTAAAAACGTTCAATTGTTATTTCTCCCTGCAACTGTTTGGAGGATTAAACTTGGAAAAGACAATGAGCACCTGCCTTTTAATGTCCTTGTTGATTTGCAGTCTTCTCCTCAACATCACTATCAACAATGTGAAATTTACTATACAGGCTAACAAAAATAAATCTCCATTGTTCTATTTTTTGTGTGCACATAGACTGGAGTTACGTCCAGTAACTACTGTTTGTTGTTGTTTTAGTGTACTCTGAGTTAACACCGCAATTGAAGGTGTTGAATCCCACATTACAATGGAAACAGAAAGGTGGAAAGGGGTTGTTCATGTAAATGTTTGCACCACTTTGCACTTGACCTGAGATCTCGCAGTGGAAAGCTGTAGATTAACAAATGCTCCAACCTATAAGTCTGGCACAGGGACCCCTTAGTGTCATGACTGAACTGTCCTTTTAAAGTAAGAACCTGCATACAAGGACTATCATCTATAATCTGGAACAAAAAGGATTACTTCAGCCTCTCAGGGCTCCATGATGTCAAAATGATATTATGCCACCTTTCCTCTCCTGGACATAAACGCTACCTTAGGCTGCCATGTTCACTTAGAAACTGGGTAAATGGAGAGTCTGTGCCTAAGGCATGTCACCAGATTTCTTTGGACAACGAGGAGTTTCCCGCTGGGCTGCAAGAATTAAAATGCACCTGCAGTCTACTGCACTGCTTCCATCCTGAAAGTGAGCTAGAGAAGAATTCTCCTCTATTGTTAGCTCCCTTCCTGAGAAATCTCCCCTAAGTGGTTCCTCATTACACACAGCTGAATTAGCGCAACAGTCTTGTGTGAGCATTAACTATGCAGACAGCTCTGTTGCAGCACTGAAGTCTTCGCTCTCTTGACTTAGTCAAGCGCACAGTCACGAAAATCTGACTCGCAGTGTAATTTAAGCTGTGAGCCAGAGAACTGGTGTGAGGAGCTTACACTGCGGATCAGAGGCTTTTCTGAGGGTTTCGTCTTGGTTTAACTAAAGAAGGAGAAAAGCAGGGTTACACATTCTACCACTCTACCTCTGAGTGTAGAAAAATCTGATAAACTGTGAGAAGTGACGGCGTTAAGAACTGTGAAGCAGCAGCAGTTGTAGTGCGCACATTATGTTTGGCTGACCAATGACTGACATGCGTGGGCTAAACGTTTCTGTGGCAGAAGAGATAATGCAATGTTTTGGGTGTTGCTTTTACAAGAACAGCATTGTTTGCTGGCATGAGAAGCTGGAGGCTCTGAAATGCAGATGGCTGGCATTAAAACGGATTCCCGTGGAGGCTGGAATACTGCAGAGCCCGATGCTGAGGAGGAGGAAGATTTAGGGGCAAAGTGCAAGGTCGGGTAGGTGGTGTCTCAGAGGAAATCTTTTTTTCAGCGACTGGTCATTTGTTTGACATTGAGGGCATCTATTTTGAGGATTTGATTAAAGGTACAATAAGGTCAGATGAGATCACACCCGAAGTATTTATTTTTTGGGTTGATATCATTATTGATCAATGACTCAGCGTTATTTCATGCTCAGAATTCTGTCTTTAAAAGATTCGGTAACTTTTATGTCATTATGTCTTTGTTGTCATTACTTTAAATCATTATTTTCTCAATTTAATCCTCTTTTTGAGGTGACTTTTATTGATGTTGCTAAAAATAGATCCAACAGGCAAATAAAAAAAAAAAGAAGCAGTCACTCATCATGGTTGTACAATAAAAAAAAAAGGTCTAAATCATTCCACAGGAAAATGACTGCAGCAAGTATAGCTAGGTTGAGGTTCAAACAGGGGGTCAGGAGCTCAAAACTAATCAATTATCTGATTAGTTTGAATAATCCAGAAGTTTCTTTTAATCTTAGGTTATGACTATGAATTTCCCAGGTGATTACACTGAAATTACACTTCAGTCATGTCGAACAACTGGTTGTTAAAATTTCTGGCACCAACTGAGGGTAGCAATATTTAATTGTTTAATCGATTGATCGTGCACATTGTAAATTATAACCTCACCCAATTTGCTTGTCTGTTTATGTTTGTTGCCTTACCTGATTTATTTTTTTGAGTCTCTGGTTTGTTTGTTTTTTGAGATTTCACAGTGTTTCCAGATCTCAACAGTGACTTTGGTGAGAACAATGCCAACATGTCAATATTTAGCAGGGAAAGTTTAGCAGTTGCTATCTTGGTTTTGTGCGTTCGCATTAGGGGTCGACCAATGCTTGAGCCGATATTCAGCATTTCTTCAATGATCACTAATCTATTTTTTATTTTTAACAGGTCCCCCAAAAATGAATTAATTTAAAAACATGCGACATTGGCTCTGATGCAGCCTCCTCTATATCTATAGTTGGAGACGAAATCTCTATGTGATCTCAAGCAATGTTCCGTCCACAGCACTCTATGATTCATTACAAGTCACAAATAATAGCCGATCAATACTGACGGATTCATTTGGAAATGTAATCTTTTAATTAAACACATATAAAACATAAATAAAGGCATTTCAACAAAGTTGGGCTGCAAGGTGGCGCGGTGGTTAGCACCGTTGCCTCGTAGTAAGAAGGTCACCTGGGATCTTTCTGAAAACCCACGCTGCACCCCGTCCAGGTTCTCTGGCTTCCTCCCACAAGGTCCAAAAACATGTTGCAGTTAACTGGTGATTCTAAATTGTCCGTAGGTGTGAATGTGAGTGTGCTTGGTTGTCTGTCTCTAAGTGTAGCCCTGCAATAGACTGGCGACCTGTCCAGGGTGTCCCTTGCCTTCACCCTGAGTCAGCCCCCTGCAACCTTAGTGAGGATTAAGCGCTGTATAGGTGATGGATGGATTTCAACAAAGTTTTGCATTTGAGCTGTTCTAAGTTTTTACACCAAGATTTTCATTTTTGCTCTAAATGTATATTAGTTCCAAATATTGGTTTTCTGCCTCCTTGATGACCAACAATCAGTATCGGCCTTAAAAGAAATTTAATGGAACAAAATGTGTTGTTCCAAACTTTAACACTGCAAACAACACAGTATACTGGCTTTGGTATTATAGTAACAGCAGCAGCAATTAGTTAATAGTTGAAAAATTTAATTTTGTAATTTTATAGTGTTAGAACATTATTAATGTACTTTCCTTTTATCAGTTACATTTACCTCTAACATTATTATCCATATCATTAGAGTTATAAGCTTTACGACCAAACAGTGTTTTAGTTTCTGTCAGTTGCCACAGAGGACAATAAAGTAATAGATATTTTGTTTGTTAGATATTTTGTATTTATTATGTCATGAATGTGATTATATGATGATTTTATGATATATTCAGACATTTTCATGTTGGCGGATGGACATTGTGTTGCTTTTGTTATGGTACCCTAAAATTATGAGGAGAAACTGGAAGTCACATGCCAAGCTTTTACTGCATGGCATAATGTGGAACAATCTAATGGCAGTGATAATTTTTCAGTAAGTGCACAGTAAAAGTCAGGCCTTGACCTTTGATTCCCAAGTGATCCTCCAACACACACAGCTGGCCTGTGGCTA